TCTTATGTTATGTCATTTGTTTTAATTTTTTTTGAATAATAATATGTCTTTGTGACACGTTTCTCTATGCTCCTGTGGCACAATTCTTATGGCTTTTGGTACGTTTTTTTTTGCATACCTTTGTTGTCTTTTTGTTGCTCATACAAACGGCATTTTTTTATTGGTTTGTCGGTAGTCAAGGATAGTCAGATCCCCTATTTGGTAAAAGGTTGTTTGCTGATATAATAAGAATTGTATAGTGGAGCAGTCTGCCAGATAATTTGGTTCACACACCACTCCTTTATCATTTTGTAAAGCATCTCGTTCAGCATAGACAATGAGTTATCTTTGAACAGATATTACCTTGTACTTACCCCAAATTATTAAAAAAATGAGTTTTACTTAAGATTACTGGATTCTTTTGATGTTAGTTGTCATTCTCAATAGAAGATTTCGTTTTTCTTCATATCTTTGAACTTAATTTTTATTTTTGTAAGAGTTTTTTTTACTATGATCCCCATTTTTTTCAATGTTAGGTGCATTGTAATACCAATTGATTTCTTTGTTTTCATTAATGAAATTAAATTACCATTATTAAAAAAATAAATTTTTCTCTCCCTACTCAAAGAAGAATTGTAGAATATCCCCTTATTTACAGTTTTTTTAACCCTTTATATACAGTCTCTAAGTCAAATGTTCCAAATTGATAGTTTATCGTTGTCGTTTGCTTTAAGTTGTCGAGAAATTGTAAAAAGAGTGGTTCATTTTTCAAATACGGAAAAACATGGTCATAATTCTTAAATAAATAATGTAAGTACAATATAATAAAATTACAACAACCGTTTGTAGTCCAATGGTTAGGATAATTGCCTTCCAAGCAATGATCCGAGTTTGACTCCCGGCAAACGCGTAGCTTGCCACGACAACTGCATCCATTTGTTTTAGTTTTTGCCGAAAAAGCTGTCACTAAACTTCAGATCAGCTGGTTGAACGTAGTTCAGTTGTTCGAAGCAACAAGGCTGTGGCTCATCAACTAAATCAATTAACAGATTAAAAAAATAGACTAGTCCACTCCAAACGTATTGTTAAGAAGAAGAGTCTAGATTTCAGGTCAAGTTGCTGCCTTGTTGATGTAGAAATAGACAAAAGCTCAACCAACCGTAGCAAATTGCAAAATGGGGTCTGTGGTGGGCACATGATAAATTATCCCCCAAGCACTTTTCGCTCCGTCCAGTCATATACATTCTAGTTTTCCTCCCATAATTCAGAACAAATCCAAGTGCAAAATGACTGTAAATAACCAGTAAGCATCATGCATGTAAGCCAGGTTTTGATGCATATACATACGGACGGTGACAAAAGCAGCCGAGTTTTGTGCTACATATAGCCATGTACCTCAATCATATATCCTCCTACGTCGATCAATACATGTAATACCAGTTTGACGGAAGCTAGCTAGCAAAGTTTTTTGGCTTCCCTTTGTCCTGTTTCTTGCTGACAGTGATTCCCTCAATCAATGTTGATTCCTGGTCCGGACACCTCCAGAAGACTGTGATCCAACAAGCACTTGCAGACACTTTCCACGATCTAATGAAAAGCAAGCCATTTTCCTAGTCCCAAATAAACCAATCAGTGATAAAACATAACTATCAAAGCCACATTTCTAAAAATATCTCATTTTTTTATTCTTCTTTTACAAAAATATCCCTATACCCGGTCTCAGTAAAACTATAGACAAGTCGACTCTTCAACATATCTATATCCTATATAAGTTCGATTCCGGCTCTAAAAATATAGATTTACATTATAATTTGATCTGATTTGATTTATTAAATCAGTTTTTTAATTACACGTATGTTCATTGAAGTGTATTTTTGTAGAAAGCTTCCAAATTTTTTAAGGTGAGTCTCAATGAAATTATTAAACTTTTTACAGACTAAAATACATTATAATATCAACGAGAGAGTCGTATAATTTAAATTTGATTATATTGATCGTAAAACAGAAAATATTTAATTTAATTGATTTATGTAATTTTTTAGTAAATTTTAAAAAAGTCTAACATCTACAGTTTTGAAAAATTTTATTTTAGGATCTCCGATGTAAATAAAACACGGCGAGATAAGGTTTAAAGTGATCTTCAATAATGCCTTGGGAAAATATCTATACGAATTAAATTAAAATCTGTCTCATTTAAAATAATAGCAATGATATAAATTGTATCATCCCCATAACACAACAATAAAAAAGCAACAAATCCCAGCAAAGCACTGAAACGCAAAATAATTTTCATGTATATCTATATTCTGAAGTTAAACATTTTTAATAATTAATTTATATTTGAAAATCAAAGTAGGGAATTTAAGGGAGAATTTTATTTTTTTATTAACTAATATTTTCATGTCTGTTATCCAATTCATATTCATAATTTAGTATTGCTTGTTTTGTTAATGTTGTCTTTAAAATTTAAATACTGTACGCTGCACACTTATTGATTTATTTTCATACATTTAATAATTAATGCATGAATCTCCTAATGAAGTATACTCTGATATAGACGGGACTTCAAAAATTTCTTTCACATGATACTTGTTACTTGAATTGTAACATCCTTAACCCATACCCGAATACGAGTTAAAGATGTCACATAGTATTTATAGACATTTTATAGTTGAAAAACCGGTACAAATTTGTTTTTTTAACTTATCAAATTTAACCCTTTCAATATAATAAATTAGTCACGTAAAATCACAATATAAAATTTAGAACACCCAAACCAATAATAGTTTTAGGCATCAACTAGATAGTTCTATAATGTTTTCTATCCTAACATAAGTTGTTGATAATCATCTAATTTAAAATATTTCTTGATAAAATATATATTTTTTCTAAATCAAATATCTTAGATTCATATTTATATTCATAGCTATATATCGCAGGTATATCTTATTCGCATACATGTCATCTAGGAAATTAAAATAAAAGGATGTCATTATTGATACATGTAATTACTCTTGGTTGATTGATGCTAAGCTCAACTCCTTACTTTGTTTGCTCTTCTTTACCTACGCGTAAAAATCATCACACACTATGTATATATTTAGTGAGACATTAAATGTAACTGAAATGATATAGGAAAAATATTTCAACTTAATAAAATCAAAACAATATATTCCTTAATTAATAAAAAGAACTTCCGATATTCACAAACAGATTTTAACCAATTATTTCTTCATCCATAAAATCTGTTAAAACCAATATCTCACATGTTTATAAAAATCATGATAATAAAATGTCAAATCTATTTATTCAAGTCATTTTCTTTTCTCGTCAGAAAATCATCATTTCATGATTTTGTCAAAATCATGATAACCAATAACTGACATAATAATTATGTCATAATTTTTTATTTCAGATATATTTGAGAAATTCCATATTTCTTTTCATAATCGTTATTTTCAAATTTCATAATTCACTTTCTAATTCAGAACTTATTTTCATATTCATACTTTCTTTTCGAATTTATCGCTAATTTTTATATTCTTATTCTAATGTATATTTATGAGAATGCAAGATACATGAGTTAAACGAGTGTGTGCAATAAGCACTTCATTGCTAAATCGTCAGAATCATAACATAATATGCACTCCAAGTGCAATCATTTCATTTGCACCCACAATGTCAGACATAATTAACCTGAAGGTACCACATACGTAATCATAATCACTCCACCTCATGGCATATCAATTGTACCTACGACTCTCAATACAACATACAATGGGCTTCCATATTATATTTTATTCATTCAATATTCACATTTCATATCAAAATTTATTTCAACTTATCATTATAAAAAACATATCTTGGGGAATTTCATACCAAAATAATTCAAGTAATTTTTCTACGATCATCAAGTAAATATTCCATTAATAAAAATATTCAGATCATTCTTTAAAATTATAGAAGAAAATTCCTTCAAACATCTTTTCAGAAAATATTATATGAAATATATTAAATAATACATACCCAAAATAAATCATAAACATTTCAGTAATTGTCATGGAAATATTCTATGATTCAATTCAAATTTTTCTTTTAAAAATAAAGTATTCGAGGTTGACTTATCGCAAGTCTTCCTTGATCAGCATAAGTGAATAAATACTCCACACTTATTAATTTTGACACTTTATTTATAAGTCAAATTATAAGGCTCACTAAGTTTTAGGTTTAATCATTCGCTTTCGGTTGTTTCGATTACAAAATTTATCATAATTTACTACTCTAACAGTTTGCACTATCTTTAAAGAAATATTATTTTGTATTAAACTACTTTCGTTTATACCATTGAAAACTAAGCTCGAATACAAATCTAACCATATAAGGCACCCCTATTTCAATTTGTACAATTTATAATAAATTTTCAAAGCTAACTTACATAAGCTGTTTTGAGCATAATCTGCTACCCTATTTTCTGACCTATCGTCGATTAAAAATTCACATCTTTTTGTATACTTCTCGAAATTAGTATATGTGTTTTTGTTTTAGACAAAATTAGATTGATAAATGAATCCAACGGTATAAGATTCATCCTCTAACCATTTATGTAGAATTTATGGTGATTTTCTAAACTTATTGTTCAAGTCATAAGTTTGAGCATATTTCACTAATTTACATCCTTAGCTTATTTACTAATTCTACTAGCTTACCAATTGAACATATAGGTTTGAATCACAATTCACATAACATTAGGAGTCACTTCTTATCATAATAACTCTTTCATTGGCTCATCGCAAGCCAATGTTTGTTCGATAACATAAATACAAATTAAATGCATTCACCTAGTGTCCTTAGCTTGCTACATTCCCTAGAAATTTACATTGCATCATTAAGCTTCTCCTTAGCTTTAATATTGTTTAATCTTGAATTTAAGCACATAATCTAAATGAGCATCATTTACACCAAATTAGTAATTCAAATCATATATTATTGGGTTGGTGTTCAGTGTACCGCACCGTGGGTACAAGATCGAAAAGAATGAAAAGCATTCCAAGCCCAAGAAAAAAGGAACGAGGGGAAGAATCGACAAGGAATCCATAAAAAAAAAAAGAAAAGAAAATAGTGAATGAAAAAAAAGCGTGACGAGAATTCTCAACCCGAGATGTTAGAAGGTGCAAAATCAATGGGTGCCGGAGCTGCTACAATTGCTTCAGCGGGAGCTGCTGTCGGTATTGGAAACGTATTCAGTTCTTTGATCCATTCCGTGGCGCGAAATCCATCATTGGCTAAACAATTATTTGGTTATGCCATTTTGGGCTTTGCTCTAACCGAAGCTATTGCATCGTTTGCCCCAATGATGGCCTTTCTGATCCCTCCGTTGTTTTCTTTTCCTCCCGCACCTTTTTCCTCGAAATGAGAAAGAAGATGGTACACTCGAATTGTATTATTTAAGTGCTTATTGCTTGCCAAAGATCCTACTTCTACAATTGGTAGGTCACCGGGTTATTCAAATAAGTTGTGTTTTCTGTGGTTTTCCCATGTTACAACTTCCGTACCAATTCGGTCAATCCGGAATGGACACATCAGAAAATACTTCTATTTCAAGTCGACCTTAATACTTCAAGTTGACCATTCAAGTCTATTTTTACCCAAATTCATTAAAATTTCCCATAACATTTTTAACTTTGCACTTTTAACCACAAATTATGAATTCTTTTAGAATTCATCACAACTTTTCAATTTCATTCGAAATGATCTTTTACTCTTTGCTCACTTCAAATTCAATAATGAAAATTCCAGCATCGAATCAACATAATCAATCTAGTACATTTACAATTGCATAATTACCTTTAAACCCTCCAAACTTTCCAAATTGACCACCAAACTTACCCAATTTCTAAAAGGATCCAATTTCACATTCTAACATAAATTTCAACACTCTAACTTTAATTTCCAACACCTCAATAAAATACTCAAATTATACTTTAACATTCAAAAGCTTGCAATTTCACCCTAAACTTTCTTAGACTTTTCAAATTCAACCATCCACTTTATAAACTTGAAATTCGATGTGCCAACTCCATATTTAAACTTAAAAATCAGCATACTAATAAAAATGAAAGCATCATAATGTCTTGTTCAAAATAATATCAACGCATTTTCAAACTTACAAACAAGTCCCTAAACTTCTAGGACTTTTAGAATTCCACCCTTGACTTTTACCAAATTTGCAATTTGGTTCCAAACAACTTCCTAAATTAAAATTCCAGCATATAATCATTATAAATAAACATTGAGTACATCAATTTGCACATTTATTCAATAATGTCCTACAATTCTCATAACTTGTAAACTAGCTTTTTTTTCCAATTCAAGCTTCCAAATTGCTCCAAGTTGATCTCCAAAACACATAGAACACTTCTAATATCAATTCTAAGCCATATGAATTTTTTCAACATTTTCCCCTAATTTATTTCCCTATGGCCGAATAATCCAAGTCTTCTAGGGCTTAATTTTCATTCAACCTTAAGCATGAATTTAACTTCTTTGCATCAAAATTATGTTATTCTAATCGTTACAACGTCAAATTAAATCAAAACCCAACCATCTCTTAAAACCCTAATTTGACCGAATTCACTACAAAGCTTTACACATAGTTTTGATCATCACACATGCCTTAGAATGAATCTCCAACATCAAATACATATTAATCTTTCATTAAATCCTCAAAATCCAACATGTTCTTCAACCACCCAATTCATGAATCTCAACATCTAAACATGATTTCCATGAATTTTTTATACCAAATGATAGAGAATTCTCTATCTAATATCTTAATCCAAAAATCAATTGAATAAGCTTAAAATTTTTGAAAATCTTACCTCTTCAACCATGGATGTTCACGATAGCTTGAAGGAAAAATGGCTAATAGTTTTCATGATTCTCTTCACCTTTCTTTAATACATGTCACCTTACAATTTAATTAGGAATTTAAAATTCATTTAATAGGAAATTCCAACTTTATCCTTTAAAATCTTTAATAATTTCCATCATGCCACCAAAATATCTTCCAATTAAATATTCAAAATAAAAATGAACAAATAAAAATTCACTTTCCACCTTTTCCCTTTCAAATTTCAAAAGGTACTATTTAGTCACTAATTTTCCCCAATTTCGACTTAACTTCAAAAATCAACCTTAACTCCATTGATTTATGTTAAATTTAAATGTTATAAATTATGGATATAATGTTTCCAACCTTTTTCTATCATACTTCAAATTTCGTGTAATTTCGGTTCGATCTGATTATCCGAATTCTTATCGAACTTTACTACATTGGAGCTTTTAATACAAATTCCAAATCAAAATTTCGATTCACACGAAAACAATTATTTCAAGACAAACTATTGATTTGTGGCCAAAATATATAACTTTTAAAAATTATATTTTTAGTCCATGGACTTTTCTAAATTTATACTCTGACCACTGAACTTTCAAAATTTGTGTTTTGGTCACTAGCAAAATTTTGGGATATTACATGAATGGCTTCATATGGAACCAACATCTTTCATATTTCTGGCTTCTTTATTAATGGTACATAATAGGGGTGCTCAATGAGTTGAGCATCTCGTGAGCAGTTCAAACTCGACTCGGTCAAAGCTCTGTAAAAATTCGACTCGGGTTGACTTGACTTGATACCTTAAAGAGTTGAGTCGAGCAAAGTCCAACTTGACTCGATTAGTTCGCAAGCAACTCGATAATTTTTTATATAATTTTTTTTAGTAATTATCTTAAAAAATTATTTCATAGACTCAAAAAATGATCCTTATTTATTATTTTGATGTATCTGTGGATTGTTACTTTCGAGTTTAAACCTTAAAATTACTTCATACATTCTTTTGATAAAATTTTTAGTTAAATTTATTAATTTATTTTTATATTAATTTATATATAGTATTAATAGATTTTACCTATAGTTAAAAAAATAAGGTAAAAGTTTCGATGAACTTAACGTACAACGAGGCGAGCAATGAGCATCGAGCTCAACAAGTAACGACCTTAATGAGCAACGAGTCAAGCAAAATTTTAACGAGCTTAACGAGCAACGAGTCGAGTCGAGCAACAAATTTTTTTAACGAGAACGAGTCGAGCACAGCCCAACTAGGGATCGACTCGCTCAATAAGCATCCCTAGTATATAAATTATTCAATATGTATAGATCAAACTTTGAATCAAATATTAGTTAATTACAGTTTCATCCTTCTATAAAAATTAGTAGAAGGTTAGTGGATCGACGGTAAATAAATATGAACTTAAACTACTATTTGACGCATTTATATTGTACATAATTTGTTTAAAAATATTATTCAACCACATTAATATTATAAAATTTTATTTTTTAAAATAGAATGGAAAAATTCATAATTATATTAATAAAATGTATGCATTAAAAATTGCATCTAAATTTTCATTTTTTTAACTTTCAGATGCCATCGAATTTAAATCCCAATTAAATTAGGGTAATCTATGTCAAATATCACTCACCTTTAGGCTCGGGCTCGTTTATGCAGTAACGTTTCAATTATGTCAATTCTAACACTAACGTTTAAGTTTAACTGCAACTATGCCACTCCGCCGTTAATGGCGTAACGGCACGATGACATGGCACATCCACGCTGTGACGTTGCTGACGTGGCTCTCTCACCAAAACGACGTCGTTTTGGCATGACTGTGTTGGTGCTTAAAAAAGCCTCAAAACGACGTAGTTTTATTTGAGAAAAATTAGTAAATAATGCATATAAAGGGATTTAAACCCATAACCTTTTGAAATAAAGGTTAATACTTAACCACTATGCCAAATTAGATTTTTTGACATAATTCTATAAACATAATATACATAACATAAGTCAGCATTCGAAAAGTTATTTTCATAAAAAACCTATGAAATTATTAAAATTCCAAAAACAAAACCTTAAATTCCATAAAATTTCAAAAAACTCCTAAATTCCTAAAAATTCTAGAAAAATTTAGGGATCAAAGTTGATTCCAGTATTCTCTTGTTCACTAAATGCCTGCTCTGTATCATCATCATTTCCAAACGGATTAACTTCCCTATCTCTCCCACGACCCCAACCACCACTTCTGCCACCTCATCCACCAGGTCGAACACCACCACTACCATACCCAGATCGATTGTTATAATCATTCCTAGGAGCAGTCCAATGCGATCCCCCTTGTCCAGGTCGATCGTTACTTGAAGCATGGTCACTGGAAGTAGGAGCAGGTGGGTCTGCTGACGGCGGACGATTACGGAGATATGGAGGAACATAAGCAGGTCGCCCACCACCCGAAGTGGAACCAGAAACTTTGATGCTATCAGAGGAAGAACCAACATCTACATTCTCAACCGCAGAATTTGCAGCCAAATCTGCCCATGATGTTCATGTAGTCATTACAATTCACAAGCACCCAAGATCCCAATTTTTCAACAAAACCCTTTTTAGTCAAAATCCACCAAGCTAACTTTCCCAATATGAAATTTAATTGAACCTGGACAAATCATTAAAAAAACCATAAACCCATCAAAACAAACGATGCAATCATCTCTTACTTCATTAATCACCCAAATGCAGCATGTTAATGTAATCCATCAGCTCGAAGAAACATCGAATAGACCTCGAAACTTAATATCCAAAACAGAAACAACGATTCATTCGATCGATTGGGGGGGAAAGCTGCCAGTGCCACAGAATCAACAAACAAAAACCCCCAAGTGCATTATAGAATTATGTCAAAAAATCTAAGTTGGCATAGTGGTTAAAAGTTAACTTTTATTTCACAAGGTTATGGGTTCAAATCCCTTCAAATGCATTATTTACTAATTTTTCTCAAACAAAACTACGTCGTTTTGAGGCTTTTTTAGTACCAACACAGTAATGCCAAAACGACATCGTTTTGGTGAGGGAGCCACGTCAGCAACGTCACGACGCGGAGATGTCATGTCATCGTGCCGTTATGCCATAACAGCGGAGTGGCATAATTGCAGTTAAACTTAAATGTTAGTGTTAAAATTGACAAAATTGAAACGTTGCTGGCATAAACGAGCCCGAGCCTAAAGGTGAGTTGTATTTGACATAAATTACCCATTAAATTACTAATGGAGCGAAAAACATATGACTGAAATAATAATATCAAAATACTTGAAGAAAACATGATAATATGATTTGGTTCTAAAAGGACTTAGAAATTGTTATATTAATATTAGTGACGGATCTCAAAATATTTTTTAGGGTATATATATATATATTAACAACATAAAATTTTTAAATGAAATAGATACAAATAAAATTTCAAGATAGATATTGTCCGTAAAATAAATAACTAAAAACTCAAATTTTATGTTTGACACCAAAATTTTCAGAGTGAAAACATCAATAAAATAAGTAAATAATTAAAAAAATGAATTTCAATACACACTCTCACGAAACTGTAGCTCACTGATTACTAATAATTATGTTTTATCGAATCGTCTAGTAATATATTATTAAACATATCGGCGTCTAAATCATACCAAGTTCAACGAGTGGCCTACAAACTATAGCCTTTTTCAGTCTTTAAATACCCAAGCTTCTAAAAAAATGAAATATTCCCAAGCATCGATGGAATCCGAATAATTTAGTGCACATCACTAGCCTCCTGCGTTTTTCATTGTATTTTTCTGTTACTTAGCCTTTGCATTTAGCTTTGCCAGTGTTGGTGTGTGCATCCGCGGGAGACGATGCTTCCAAGCAGCTTACTTTGTTCCATGAGGCCAAGCTTCTCAAGGTATTTCTTTGTTTATTCCTTGAATTTAACCTACTTTTCATCCATATTTCTGAGTTTTTTTTTTCGGTATTCATCAATTTTTGGGGGTTTCGCTAATAAGTTCATTTAATTTAAAGGATGGATATGGAGAAATGGAACCTCTTGATCGAATGTAAACTATGGTTTTCCGTTTTCAGTACATCATAATTTTTGCTATGGGTGTCTGATTTTTGGTAGTTTTGAAGAGATTTTAATTTGGATGAAATTGCAAAATCTTTAAGAAAATGGATAGATGATAGCGTAGATCCTAAACAAACAAAACGATACTCGACAAGCTCTGTAAAAAAGGAGATATGATGGGCACGGGCGGCTGCGTCAGTTTTTTCCCTTCTTGTCCGATCTTATTTAAAATTTGATGGTGCTCACCGTCAATAAGTTTATTTAATAGAATGGATAGAAATAAATAAAATTAGGAGGATCACTAACTTATTTATTAATAAGTGTGTAATGTGATACATCATACTACCTCAATATTTTGGGATAATAAGTGTGTAATCAATTCTTCTTAAATAAATCACCAAATTTATAGTATTTAATAGACAAAAATTCTTATTATATAATATTTTGATATTTATAATTTCATCTTATTATAATATATTTCAGGAGTCTTATTTTAATAAGGTAGCACAAGACTCGCATATTTTTTTTAGACAGGCTGATGGATCATAAACTTTTGCAATATTTAATTCATTTTTTAAAATAAAGTCCACCTTGTCCTTCCTCAAGTATATTTTTACTCGATAATATAAATAAATACTTTAAAATATATATATATAAATATGCAACTGTTCATTATAATAATTGTCTTTAAATATACATATAAAAGATTATAACATTAAATTCAAATTCAAATTTTTCTCATCCTAAATTCAATTTTGTTCCAACATAAACTCACTTCATCCCAAAATTTATTTTGAATTCAAATTTAAATTTAAAAGATAACATAGAATAAAATCGAACTAAAATTTATATTATAATTTAATTATCTCTAATAAGAGACGAGATATTTCGAATCATACGTCATATAGTTTCATTTCATGGTATACATATTTATTTTCTATAACCTTAGTCTAAATGAAACTTGACTTTAATGTAAAGCAAAGTTGCAAAACGTCAACAGCTCGTGACAACTGATTAATCTGTCAAAAACTTAACATTCACTTTTCAAATGTCTCTTCCCCAAGAGAAAGGCTTTCTCTTCCTTTTTTTTTTTTGTTTTAAAGTAATGAAACAGGGCTAACGTCTTCTAATGGATTATTGATGATTTGATTCTCAGATCTGCAATGTGACCAACTTAACAAGACATCGTCACCGTGTAATGAAGCACGAGAGGCTTCGTATTTTTTTAACATTACAAATAGAGGTTATAGTCACAGATTTTAAATGTAGGCATTTAAAATGTGGTGCTCCTTATATAAGAGTTGAATTGATTTTGAATTTAAAATTTAAATATTTTTTTTATTAAATCAAATTATTTTACAACAACAACTTTTTTTCCAGCTTGAGTGAAATTCTATCTACAAAGGAAAAGCAATAGAGGGCAAGATGCCAAAACACGAGAGCAAGTTGTTTGGGGGACCTCCCCAAATAATATTGTAAACACAAATAGCCCAACACTTTGAGAACACACACATTAACACGAACAAAAACCTACACCGTATACGTGTCTCAAAGGTTATTTTGGTAAAAAAATGACTGGAGCAATCACACGTGTGAACCATGTACACAGTAAAAAGCCTTTAACAATGGCTTGAATTTTTGTGCTGGGCTAGCAGGAAGAAGAAAGGTAACCGGGATAGCCTGGAAACTGAAGCCGAAGATCTCGATTGTCGATACTCCGTTCCGTTTCACAGAGATCCGTTTAAGAATCATTCGTCTTCAAGATTCTCTTTACGATCGGATAATCCTCCCTTTTCCAGGTCTGCCTCCTTTTATATCATTATAAATAGCTATTTTTTATTTCTTTTCATTTTCTTTTTTATTGGTATTTGGTTTTTGATATCTTCAACCGATGTGGTGTTACGTTTAACCCTGCGCATCCTCGTTTAATACGGAACTTTCCAACTTTGCTTGAAAAGACTCGAAAGCTTCTTCTTTTTTGGCAACTCACTGAGTTCGCTGCTTATCTCATTTTGGTTGTTTCAGAAAGGGAGCAGCGGTGAAGGCGAAGAAGAAAGGGGAAATGGCGACCAAAGTATCCAACTTTTCGGATCTGATACAACGAGTTGCAGCATCTTGTTTATTGCACCCGCTCGCCGCCGGCAGGCAAGAATCCGGCGATTCTGACTCCCTGACTCATTCCGTTATCGAGGAGGACCCCGACGAAGAAGAATACTACGAGTATAATAATTCAAGCGAGGATGAAGGGAAAGAAAATGAGGTGAAGGACATTGAGAAGTCGAGGAGAATAACGCGGGTTTGGAACCATAACGGAGAGAAAACGAAGGAAATGGTAGCGTTAATGGAGGAGGTTTTCGAGGCGGTGGCTGAAATGAAGAAGGCTTACTTAAGGTTACAAGAAGCGCATTGCCCGTGGGACCCAGAGAGGATGAGGGCGGCTGACGTTGCGGTGGTGGGTGAACTGAGGAAGCTTGGGGTGTTGAGGGAAAGGTTTAGGAGGGAAACACGTGGCGGTGGACGCGGTGGCGGGAAAGGGCACGTGGCTATGCTGAGGGAAGTGGTGGCGCCGTACGAAGCGGCGGTGGAGGACTTGAAGAGGGAAGTGAAGGTTAAGGAGGTGGAAATCGAGAACCTGAAAGAGAAGCTCAATACTGTTACTTGCCTTTCCAGTGGTGGAACGAAAGGGCGGAGTCTTTCCAAGAGGAAAGTCAGCTGCAGTCATGGTAAGTCGCGTCGAAATTACCTTTTTAGACTAGCTGTTTTTCTTTCTATATTTGATGAAGTATAGGGTTATATTGGTAATTAGACAACATGCAAACGATGATGTTGCCTGCCAATGGTGTTACGCCACGTTATCAGGAAGCCATAGTCAAACCAACTATTCCTCTTTCATGTCCAAAAGACCTAGGAAATCATTAGTTTCTTGGCAAACTATTATTCAATGATTAAAAAATATTGGTTTTTGTTGAAGTACCCGCAATTAAAACTTACTATTTAAAATTTATGAAATATTGGAAAAATTAACCATATTAGTGTTAAAATCGACTGTTTTCGAGATGGCAATTGACTCCGAATAACATGGTTTAGAACATCAATATGATATGAGTTTTGAGTTTTTTTTTTTTGCTCGTTCCTGGTGGCAATACTTGCAGCAGCACCAACGCCAGAGCTGTTTGAGGCTACAGTGAGTCAGGTGAAGGAAGCATCAAAGTCCTTCACATCTCTCCTCCTTTCCCTCATGCGCGAGGCTCGTTGGGATATTGCAGCCGCTGTCCGATCCATTGAAGCTGCAACAGCCACTCCTGACAACACCAATTATACCACCACGATGATAACTCCATCCGTCGTTGCAAATCACCATGCCAAGTACGCGCTAGAGTCGTATGTCTCGCGCAAATTTTTCCAAGGGTTCGACAATGAGACTTTCTACATGGATGGCAGCCTCTCTTCCTTGCTTAATCCCGATCAGTACCATCGGGAGTGCTTCACTCAATACCGTGACATGAAAGCAATGGACCCGGTCGAGCTTCTGGGGATCTTGCCTACATGCAATTTCGGCAAGTTCTGCTCCAAGAAGTACCTCGCCATTGTCCATCCCAAGATGGAGGAATCCTTGTTCGGAGGCTTGGAGCAGCGCAATCAAGTAATGGCCGGAAATCACCCCAGGAGTCAGTTTTACGGGGAGTTCCTGGGGCTGGCCAAGGCAATTTGGTTGCTTCATTTGCTTGCATTCTCGCTTGACCCAGCACCAAGCCAATTCGAAGCTAGTCGGGGAGCAGAGTTTCATCCACATTATATGGAGAGCGTGGGCAAGATTTCAGGTGGGCGAGTGCCTGCAGGTCAGATTGTGGGCTTCCCTGTTAGCCCTGGGTTCAAGCTGGGAAATGGTTCTGTTGTAAAGGCTAGGGTTTACCTAGTGACTAGCACATAGACTTGTTGCATCTGGTTTTGATAGGTTTTAGAATCTACAGTAGGGGGAATTCAGCTTAGGACTTTTTGAGACTATTATTTTAAGAATCTGATTTGATGTCCTGGGATGTTGCTTTGTTATCTCGGGTGCTTGCATTTCTAGAAGCCTAATCATTTGTCAGTCAGCAAATAATGTGTATGCAACTGCATGTAATCTCTTCTTTACACACGAAGATTGATCGAGTCAGGGTTTGATATATGCAAATTATCATCTCATTTTGTTCCCACAGCATTGAAAGGAAAACAATGAAAATTATGATGTAGGAGGAATGCCATAAGCTACGTGCCAAAGGGAATCGTGTATTGATTGATTTGATTGAACAAGGCCAAACGTATTATTTCCACCTTCAACAAACTTCGTTACCACTAACAAATTGGGAAATTCTTCATCAAACAGGGTTCCAATTTAAAAAATATTGGAGAATATATTCTAACACATTTTTTCTTTTAAAGTGTATATTTATTAAATATTATAATTAATCCAATTGTTTAACTTTAAACAAAATATCAAATATATTTTATAATTTAAATTCAACACTTATATTTAACATTTGAACATTAAAATTAATTAGCTCACACACCATAAAATAACACATCTCCACTTAATCAAAAATAATAGTACATAGTTTTTTTTAAAAATTTTGTGTTAATTAAAAATTTAATTTCATAGCAAACATATTTTAAAAAAACTTATTTATTAAAAAATTTCATTTTCAATAAAACAAAAGGTATAAATAAATTAACAAACACGCACACAAACCAACTTACCTCAGTGGTCAATAAATCGTTATTGTTTCTAGAGCTCATGGGTTCGAGCACCAACGACTGCAGTAGGGTGATTGAGCGTTCATTGTCAAATGATTGAGAGTCTATTTAAAATAGATACTACTTGTAATCACCTTGCTTGATTCCAAAAATGAATTAACAAACACTCCAGGAAAGAAGATTAAATAAAAAAATTAATAAAAAATAAATATAAGATAATAATAAAATATCCAATAATTATATATAATTTTATTTAATATCAAAATTAAATGACATAAAAAAACCCGACAAAACTGAACAAATTTATGGAAAACAAGATTTATCCCAAGTCAGTCTCGTTTTTGCTCAACTCTTTGGCAGTAACAACTAACCAACAAGCAGCCCCTTCTCCCGCCAATTTCCCACGATTCAAAGTCGCATCGCATTCGCTTTCTATATAAACCCCACTTCCTCCCTAATCTTTCCATCTTTTCTCAGAATCCTAAGCCCTAACCGTAAATCTCGCACATACAAAGCAACGAGAAGAAAGAAAACACCCCAAAATGCGGAGCTCAGGCTGGTTCAAGGGTCGCTTCTAAAGAAAGTATTGGACGCGATTAAGGACTTGGTCAACGATGCGAACTTCGACTGTTCGGCGACCGGATTCTCGTTGCAGGCGATGGATTCGAGCCACGTGGCGTTGGTGGCTCTGTTGCTCAGATCGGAAGGGTTCGAGCACTATCGCTGCGATAGGAACCTATCAATGGGGATGAATCTGGGTAACATGTCCAAGATGCTAAAATGTGCCGCTAATGATGACATCATCACTATCAGGGCTGATGACGGTAGCGATACTGTTACTTTCATGTTCGAGAACCCAAGTGAGCTTTCCGTTTTCCTGGTTTTTCATTTTAATTTTGTTCCCGTTCAATGATTAGTTTAGAGGAAAACTATCTGTTTGGTTGATGTGGTTATGTGTTTTTCTCAATTAGAACGACACTATACACCACGTTCAGTTTTCTTGGGTAAAAAAGTTTGCTAGATTTGTTCGCAATTTAAGTCTGAACTGACATTTTGTTTGTTTCTTTATGCATGTGGATAATGGATTAAAGAACAAGATAAGATAGCAGACTTTGAGATGAAGCTAATGGATTGATAGCGAGCACCTTGGAATTCCAGATGCTGAGTACCAAGCTATTGTTAGGATGCCTTCATCTGAATTTGCAAAGATTTGTAAAGATCTTGCTAGCCTTGGTGATACTGGTACCTGTCAATATTTGCTTTATAAGATTTTTTTAGATAATAATTCTTTGGCCTTTATTTTCATTTTTATGATTGACCTTATTTACATGTACCTTTGCAAATCTTAACTCTAGTTTGATTTGGTTGCAGTTGTTATCTCTGTAACCAAAGAAGGTGTTAAGTTTTCCACAGCTGGTGATATTGGGACTGCAAATATTGTTCTCAGGCAAAATACCGCTGTAGATAAAGTATGTCCTTTGTCCTGTCATGTTATTGTTTGTACTTTTTTTGGACATGTTTATTGATACTAAGATATTCCCTGTTTTCTAGTATGTAACTTCTATGTTGCTTAGAACCTAGTGTGTGTTGGGTGTGAATATTTTATCTATTAGAATATTATTTGGGGTTTAGAATCTGCTATGTATGTCTAGCCATCTGAGATGTGATGGTCATACACGAATACTTCAATGAATAGTTTAAGCAATATAGTGTTACATTACTGCCAACAAGTTACTACCCTAGTATAAAAATCTTATGATACATCAGGTCTAGGATTCAAACTCTATGAAGCTCCTCTCTTTGAATTGTACCAGGAAAACATATTGATATGACATTATTATTCTTTGTATAAACATTTGCAGCCAGAAGAAGCTACATCATAGAGATAAACAATCCGGTATCGATGACGTTTGCATTGAGGTACATGAATTCATTTACAAAGGCTACCCCGTTGTCGAATACAGTGTCGATCAGCTTGTCTTCAGAACTGCCTGTTGTGGTTGAGTACAAGATAGCTGAGATGGGTTATATCAGGTTTTTCTTGGCTCCCAAGATTGAAGATGAAATGGATGGATGAGACTGCAGTAGATAAGTTTAGAATAGATATATGATAGGTGATAGCATTCATTTGTCTTTCAATACAAATATGACTTGAAAATGTAGAGTCGTTTAGAATTTGATTTGAAAGAATTTCATCTTTTCTAAGCACTGGAAATCAAACGAGGTACATGAGTTGAGGCAGCATTACAGCAACAATTTCAGATTCACTCATGTTGTTTTAAGTAATAACCTAAAGGCAATTCATTACACGAATAGCTTAAAAATAACTAAGCTTCCAAGATGCTGCCATGGTGCCGTACCATGCTTTCATTAATAGCTCTGAGCTTTTATTTTCTCATGTCACTACAAAAGCACTTGATGAACCGGTGAAATGCCGAATTGATCCTAAAAGCCCCTTGAAGCACCAAAATGTCTTATTCTGTATATCCTGCCGAGGCAGATGACGGGATTGTCCATCCGATTGTTGCCTTACTTCGGGGACTTAGCTTTGAAGGTCTTGTCCACTTAAAGAAGGCACCAATCATCATCATCATACATTGGGATCCATGTATCCTTCCCTTGGAGCATCTCAACTAGGGCGAGCATACCTTCTGTCAAGAGATCATTCCTTAGGCAAGCCGACCAGAGGGCAACAGTCACGTTTCTGCCTGTCTTGAAGGTTGAGTTGACTGGAACATCAAAGACATCTCCTAAGTTTATACCAGCAGGGGTTGAGTCCATTACAACATGAGTAAGTAAAAGCATATTTTCTTTTTAGAAGATCCGTAGGTTGTGGACCGGCTTCAACTGGTTGACCTTTGATGAGAGCGCTTGCAAGCTTCTTGAACTCCTGAATGTAAACACCGAGTGTGTGGACCATGCAGTGTAGAGGCACCCTAAGAAACAAAAACACTAGATAATGAAGTACACAAAAGCTGAGAAGAAAGCTGCAGATAAAAATATTGTAAAACCAATTTTCTTCACTTGAATGTCTTTTATAGTCAATAAATGGCAATATTGAGGCAATTATATTCGGATATCGTCGTCTATTTCACACTGACCTCATATCTCTACACTTGGTGTCCCTCCGAGGTAGCAACATACTGAGAATATTGTTGAAAGTCAACATGCAATTCGGTGCACATGCACCGAAAGTGTGAAATAAAAAAAAGGCAGCCTCAATTGTTGACAAAATGAAAGGGTAAATTACAAACTTTAGTCACTTAAAGTTAGGGTATTTACAAATTAATCCTTAAAGCTTCAACTATAAATACCCTAGCTCATTTAGCTTAAAATCATCCCAAAGCATTCTAGCTTTCTTCCAATACTAGATAGAATTTAGAGAGTTTCTTGAGAGTTGTTTTCTCCTTTTTAAGAGAGAATTATCATTATTTTCCCTTGGTCGATCGAGAGAAGTTGTAATTCCTATTTTCTCATAGTGAAATTCTTCTACCGTTGCCTGTGGTTTTTACCCTATATTATTCAGGGGTTTTCCACGTAAATTTTGTGCTCTTTTATCTTCATTTTTATTTTCTCAAATTATCAGTTGCGATTTTGCTCTATCCGATAGCCGTCTTCCGCAACAATTGGTATCCGAGCTAGATTAGAGTGTGTAATATCTGCTTATTGTCTTTGTGGTTGCCACCAAAATGTGGATCCTCCAACATAAGAAAGTAAGAAGGTATTACCCATTCTTTGAAGGTTCCAGAGAACTATTCACGATAGTGAAATAGTGGGAGCTATCCGTAAAAGAAGCTATGGCAACGAAATTTGATATTGAAAAATTCAATGGGAGAAATTTCTCATTATGGAAATTGAAGATGAAGGCCATCCTGAGGAAAGACGTGTCTAGCATCTATCAGTGAAAGGCCGGTAGATTTCACAGATGACAACAAATGGATCGAATAGACGGGAATGCTATGGCAAACTTTCATCTAGCATTAGCAGATGAAGTATTGTCAAGCATCGAGGAGAAAAAGACAGCTAAGGAGATATGGGATCATCTCACCAAACTGTACGAGGCCACATCGATGCACAATAAAATTTTTCTTAAGAGAAAATTGTACACTCTTCGTATGCCAGAATCTACTTCAGTGACGGAGCACTTAAATACACTGAACACTTTATTTTCTCAGCTTACATCTTTAAGCTGTAAAATAGGAGAACAAGAACGTGTTGAACTTCTACTTCAAAGTCTACCGGATTCGTATGATCAACTCATCATCAACTTGACAAACAGTAATGTCACCAGTCTAGTCTTCGATGACGTTGCAGCTGCTGTTCTACAAGAAGAAAATCGGCGCAAGAACAAGGAAGACAGACAAGTAAATCTGTAACAAGCAGAAGCGTTGATAACAATGACAACGATGAGAGGGAGATCAACAGAACGTGGCCAAAGCAGCAGTCACAAACATGGTAGATCGAAGTCGAGAAGCAAAAAATTTAAAGTGTTACAACTGTGGAAAGAAGGGTCACTTGAAGAAGGATTGTTGGAGTCTAAATAAAAACTCCAATCCACAAGGCAATACCGCAAACACTTCAGATCATGGAGATGCTCTATGCTGTGAAGCGTCAACCACCGTGGAAGGAAGAAAACGATTTGCAGATATATGGCTCATTGATTCGGGAGCAACATATCACATGACCTCAAGAAGAGAATAGTTTCATCATTATGAACCTGTCTCAGGAGGATCTGTGTATAGTTGCAATGATCATGCCTTAGAGATCATTGGCGTGGGAACCATCAAATTGAAGATGTACGATGGAACAATCAAAGTTGTTCGAGATATGCGGCACGTGAAAGGCCTGAAGAAAAATTTATTATCCTACGGATTGTTGGATAATAATGCAAGCAAGATTGAAACACAGAAAGGAATCATGAAGGTGTTCCGTGGAGCACTTGTGGTGCTGAAGGGCGAAAGATAGCTGCAAACTTGTACATGCTGAAGGGAGAGACTTTGCTAGAAGCAGAAGCCTCTGTTGCCTCATGTAGTTCAGATTCTTCAATGTTATGGCATCAGAAACTTGGACACATGTCAGAACAAGGAATGAAAGTTCTTGTGGAGCAAAAGCTACTTCCAGGCTTAATAAAGGTATCACTTACTTTGTGTGAGCATTGCATAACAAGTAAGCAGCACCGGTTGAAATTCAACACGTCAAATTCTAGAGGCAAAAATGTTCTACAATTAGTCCATTCTGACGTATGGCAAGCACCAGTTACATCTCTAGGTGGAGCAAAATACTTTGTCTCATTCATTGATGACTACTCTAGGAGATGTTGGGTGTATCCTGTTAAGAAGAAGTCAGATGTGTTTTCAACTTTCAAAATCTTCAAAGCGCGGGTGGAACTTGATTCTGGAAATAAGATCAAGTGTTTCAGAACAGATAATGGAGGTGAATACACAAGCGAAGAATTTGATGACTTTTGCATGAAAGAATGCATCAAAAGACAGTTCACAGTGGCAAACACTCCTCAACAAAATAGAGTGGCAGAGCGGATGAACAGAACCTTGTTAGAAAGAACAAGAGCAATATTGAGGGATGCAGGCCTAGAAAAATCATTATGGGCAGAAGCAGTCAATACCGCATGTTATTTGGTGAATCGAGCTCCATCAACTGCAATAGAGCTGAAGACACCAATGGAGATGTGGACTGGTAAACCAACTGATTATTCAAACCTCCATATATTTGGAAGTATTGTGTACGTGATGTACAACTCCCAAGAAATCTCAAAGTTGGATCCAAAATCCATGAAATGCAAATTCTTGGGGTATGCTGATGGAGTCAATGGGTATCGCTTGTGGGATCCCACTGCCCGCAAAGTGATCATCAGCATGGATGTTATCTTTGTAGAGGATAAACTACAAAGAAAAGAAGACGATGATAGCACTGAAAAGTCAGAGACTACACAGATAAATGTGGAAATGAGTTTGAACAAGGAGATTCTTCTGAAGCAGAACCAGCACATAATGAACAAGAACCAGAGAGTTCTGAAGCACCAACAACTCATCAATCAGATCGCGTGAGAAGACGTCTCAATTGGCACTCAGATTATGTTATAGAAGGTAATATTGCATACTGCCTTTTAACAGAGGACGGTGAGCCATCAACATACCAGGAGGCAATAAAAGCTCAGATGCTTCACTGTGGATGATGGCGATGCAAGAAGAAATCGAAGCCCTTCATAAAAATAATACATGGGACCTTGTGCCACTACCACAAGGAAGGAAGCCGATTGGTAACAAATGGGTCTTCAAAATCAAACGAAATGGTGACGATCAAGTTGAGAGGTATCGTGCAAGACTGGTGGTCAAAGGATATGCTCAAAAATAAGGTATTGATTTCAATGAAATATTTTCTCCTGTGGTTCGACTAACAACAGTTCGAGTAGTTTTGTCAATGTGTGCTACATTGGACTTACATCTAGAGCAGCTAGATGTTAAAACAGCTTTTCTTCATGGAAATCTTGAAGAAGAGATTTACATGCTCCAGCCTGAAGGTTTTGAAGAAAAAGAAAAGAAGAACTTGGTTTGTAGGTTGAACAAATCTATGTACGGTCTAAAGCAGGCGCTGAGGTGTTGGTATAAGAGATTTGATTCCTTCATTATGTGCCTTGGATACAACAGACTTAACGCAGACCCTTGTGCTTATTTCAAGAGGTCTGGTGATAACGATTTTGTTATATTGCTGTTGTATGTAGATGACATGTTGGTTGCATGACCCAACAAAGATCATATTGAAGAATTGAAGGCACAAATGGCTAGGGAATTTGAAATGAAGGACTTGGGATCAGCAAACAAGATTCTAGGGATGCAAATTCACCGAGACAGAAGTAATAGGAAGATTTGGCTTTCACAAAAGAATTACTTGAAGAAAATATTGTCACGATTTAGCATACAAGATTGTAAGCCAATTTCTACCCCTCTTCCTATTAACTTCAAATTATCCTCCAGTATGAGTCCTAGCAGTGAAGAAGAGAGATGGAGATGTTTCGTACCGTATGCATCAGCAGTGGGAAGTTTGATGTTCGCTATGATA